TTAATTTATTTCTTTATTAGTTTTCTTTTTTAATTTCTTTATTAGTTTTCTTTTTTAATTTTATTCATATAGAGAACCTGAGTCCCAAGTTTTGTTAATTTGATTATTTTTTTAATTTATTTATTTATTATTTTCTTTTTTAATTTCTTTATTAGTTTTCTTTTTTAATTTTATTCATATAGAGAAATCGAGTTTAGATTTTGTTAATTTAATTATTTTTTTGAATTGTCTTGCGATTGTTGAGTTGTAGAGATAGTCTTGCGATTGTTAAGTTTTGGGAATGGTCTTGCGATTGTTGAGTTTTGGAGATGGTCTTGTGTTTGTTGAGTTTTGAGGATGGTCTTGCAATTGTTAAGTTGTAGATACGATTATACATGTTTTATTCTAGTCTTGGTTTAATCACAAATATATACATCGATTGAGTACAGCATACAATCATTAATCATACTAATTTTTTTTTAATGCAAGAGAATACAAGATTCATATTTTGTTAATTTTTATTATTATTAATTTTTGGTTTTATTTTCTTTAATTTTTTTATTTTTCATTTATTTTTATTTTCATTTGATTCTTTTTTTCATTTTTTTCTATTTTAAATTCTATTTATTTATTATTTAATTCATATTTTTTATTTAATTTTTTCGCTTTTTTTATTTTAAATTTTTTATTTATTTATCTACTTTTTATTTACTTATTTATTTTTATTTGAAACCTTTTATTTATTACAAAACCCAGATCACGCATTATGTTAATTATCTTTTTTTTGTAAATATTATTAATTTTAATTTTTTTTTAGAATATGTTACTACCAACTTAATACGCTTATTCTATTTGGCAAGATTGTTTAATATAGAAAATTATATTAAATGCATTCAGTTTTTAGCAAATAAAATTGAAATAACGTATGCAGATAATAGTCAAAAATGGTTTTTTACCAAAAATTGAGATCTAAAGAATATTGGGATTTTGCAGGTGAGGTATCATGTGGAATAGATTCTATACTCGAAGTAAGTTAAAATCAATATAGAGATGATAGCATTTACAAAGTCAAATATGAAGAGCTACACGTATTTTCGGCAAAATATATCTTAAAAGAAGATATTAAAATTTATAAATTAAAATATTTAAATTTTTGTTTAATAAATAAATTAATATAATTTAATTAGGAAATGAAAATAAATACAATGAAGAGAATAGAATGAAGAAAATGTTGATAGTTATGAAGAAAGAAATAATGATGAATCTAGTAAAAATGAATATGAATATAAAGATGATGTTGATGAATATGATGGTGAAGATAGATATGAAGATAATCATGAGCAAACAGCTACTATCAAAAAACAGTATATGTCTATTAATAATTATTTATTTATTTGTTTTGTTTGTTTTATTTTTGCTAAATATTTTTTATATTTAGGTCTATCAATATCTACATCTAAAGTTATTAAAAGTCAGCATTTAAACTAGTCAAAAGATCAAAAAATTTGCTCTAATATTATTAGCAATTGCTTAATATTGAGTACAATTTCTTATAATTCAAATATAAAAAAAATTGAAATCTATTCTGAAAAATATAAAGCAGTGCTTAAAAACCAAGCAGAAAATGCTTTACTAGAGCTATTAATTATACTTATATTAATGAATTAGCAAGTAAATTCAATTTTCAAACTTTGTATCTATAACCCCAGAAGATGCTATAGTTGGTTCAGTAAGTCCATTAGGTTATTTAATAAACTATCAAGTATTTGAGAATAATATTCTTAAAGGAAATAAGCTAAGGGTTGCAAAGTTATATTATGAGTTCCAATTATTAGAAGCAGGTCTTCCAGTAGTTGCTCCTTTTTTTGATTTAAATTCAGATGTACCAAAATCTATATATTATAAAGAGATTATTAAAACTTTAAAAATTATAATACAGCAAAATTCTACTTCAATTCCTACTCAATTTCGCTATTCATCAATTAAAAGTGCACTTGATTTGATTTATATTTAGAAAGATATAACAATTCTCAAGATTCTTTATTAGAAATAGAGAGTTGTAATACTCAGGAGCAAATTATGTTATTATAAAAGATACCAAACTTACCTTTTAATATTTCTTCTGCTAAACAAAATTTAAATGAAAAAACATTTTTACAACAAATTAAGCAACAGATAAACACTTTTAACATGCTAATAAGTACATGTTATAAAACTATTAGCAATATAGATATTATTTCATATTCATCAGAAATATCTAAAAGAGTATCCTTAAGAACTCTTTATAAGTTCGAACAAACTTACAATTACCTAAAAAAATGTATAATAAAGGTAGCAACTAGGCAAAAAGAAATAAAAGTAACATCACAAGTTAATACTCTTCTCTTAAGAAGAATTACAATTTATCAGCTATTGAACATTGATCAAAAAGGAACTCATTTACAAATTCAACAAATTACTAATAAAACAAAAAGAAAAAAAACAATTGAATCTGATGAAATAACAATTCAAATGCCTGGGTTTTCTGGCAATATATCAGCTAGAAAGCTTCAGACATTCACAACTGCTGGGCTACAGTTAGTTGAGCTATTAGAAACACACAATAATAATTAGGTAATATGTGAATTAATAGATGATATTACAATTACATGGTTGGAAAACTTTCACAAAGATAAATAGATCGAATTTATTAATTATATTAAAAGATAATTGTTAAAAATTTATTTTTTAATTTATTAATATATTTTTATTTTAATGACTAAATATTTTTTATAAACTTTTTAGTAAATAAATTTTTTGTATTTGTATATTTGTAAATTGTATTTTTTTTGTATTGCATATTCACAATTTGTATTTTTTAAATTTGTTGCAATATTTTTTGTTATAATATATACCAAGTTTTAAATTCTATAATATTTTTTTCAGCATTCTTTTTTGTACATCATTTTCGTGTAACCTTATGTACATCAGATCTTGTCAGCCAATGAAATCGTCGCATAATTTCATGTACATCAAATTTTTATCAACTAATAAAATCGCACAGAAATACATAATTTTTATCGGCCAATAAAACTACTAAAATCTGACATATAAATATCATATAAGTTTTTTTTTTTGACTTTGGCTTTCTCTCTTTCTAACATTTTTTGATAACAAAAGCGAATGCGTCTCTCTATTTTTTTTTCTTCTTTATGATCGTAACTACAATTTTTTTTAAAAATGAATATTGATACTATTAGAACCGGATCCATTTTCGCCACTTTTCCTGAAGCACGTGCAGCTATAGAAACATATGCTGCAAAAACCAACACCGTATTAATTTTAGGTAGAACAACTAAGAATCCAGATGGCAGTGGCTATAGGCAGGCGTATTTTGTTTGTGAAAGACAAGGAAAGTATGGTGGAAAAGAGGAGAAACACACTACTAAACGGACCGGTTGTCCTTTTATGATTGGTATAAATTACCGAAAGCGTTCAAAAAACTTTGTAATTACAAAGTGTTGCCTTGAACATTGCCATGATATTTGCCCGGAAGCAACAAAATTTAGCCCTGCTATACGTAAATTTGACCAAGATGATCTTGGCCTAATCGAAAAACTTTGCGACAATGGACTCCGCACAAGAGACATATTTTCAGTGCTTAATTCAGTAAGTTCAAAATATGTCCACAAGCCTGACGTTTACAATGCCATAAGTCGTCAGCGTCAAAAGAAATTACAAGGTTTAAATGAGATCGAGGTATTACTTAAAACTCTGCAACATGATGAAAATGTTCTGGGTAGTATTGCAACAAAAGCCATACACAATGATGAACGTGACCAAGACGGTGAATTTATTCAGGCGGTTTTTTGGGCGTACCGTCATGCAGTTTTTGAATTTGCGGTTGCAAAGGATGTTTTAATAGTCGATGCTACGTACAAAACCAATAGGTTTTCGATGCCCTTAATAGTTATTTGTAGCATCGATCAATTTGGATCAACCTACCCCTTGGCCTTTGCTCTTGTTTACTCAGAAACATGTGATTTTTATCGTTGGGTGATGCAACAATTGAACAGGGTGTTAACTATACTGACGGGCGATGCACAAGTAGCAACATTCATAACTGACCGAGAGCTAGCTCTCATCACAGCATGTTCTTTAGTATTTCCTCATGCCAGGCATCAACTTTGCATTTGGCACATCTTTAAAAACATTCGGAACAAGCTCAAAAAGGACGTCGAAATTGATGAATTTATTCAAGCTCTTCAAAAGCTTGTATACGGGGATATTTCAATAAATGAAGTAATAATTTTTATTTATTTATTTTTTTTTTGTTTTTTTATTTTTTTATTTTAATTTTTTTTATTTAATTTTATTTTATTTTTTTCTTTTTTTACAAATTAACACATATGTTTAAAACTTAATAGATTGAACAAGAAATAGCGGAATTGTGGAAACGATTTCCAAATGCCAAAACTTACATGAATGAAACTTGGATGCGGCATAAGGAAAGCTGGCTCGCACCATATGTGAATAATAATATCAACCTTGATATAAGGTCAACTCAACGTGTAGAAAGTTTGCATAGCAAACTAAAGGGTGTTGAAAACCGAATTACTCCAATTGATAAATTACTTTCAATTATTTGGCGGCAACTTCAAGAACATTCCCAAAAGCTTGCGTATGAGACATTCTTGCATCAAAATAGAAGCACACACGATAAAACTGACAAAAGTCTGGAAGAACTACGTTTAATTTGTTCACAGTTTGCATTCGAAAAATTTATAAGGCAACAGGGAGATC